CTTTACTCACGTCTATTTTCCAGTGAAGCGCTTTGAAAGTACGAAAACATGTCAAGTTTAAACAATCTTGTATTGAGTTATTACTCTCCTCATTTCATAGAAAAACGTCGTAACGGCGGACGAGGTAAAATAGAAAGGAAAAGAGAGGACCCTGGGATCGAGGTTGTTAAGAAGTTTCAGAGTCGGTAGTCCTAAATGAAATAAAGAAATAAGCCTCGTCAAATACGTGCAGACGTACTGTCTCACAAATCTGTTTTGGTTTTTAGGGGTGTTTAACCTGTGCTACTCAAATAGAGGCTCACTCTTTATGGCAACGCTCAAGGTTAAAAAACGCTCGCTGAACGTGAAGTCGGGCTAGCAACAATGCTAGGGATTTTAAATACGCCGGTGAACGAATCAGGTCAAATTCGAGACTAAATGAACGCCTCGAGTCAAACCGAGTTAATCCGTATTCCACAAATAGAGTGAAGCGGCGAACTTCTCTCTGTCTCCTTCAGGCTTTTCCGCGTCATTTCGCACCTCCCTTGTTTATTTGAACTGGCCAAGTCATTAATACGTATTTTTTTATAGTTATGTATTTTTTTTAAACAGTTAGTGTTATGCCAAACCGGTTTTAGTAACTTAATAAAGGAAAGGTAAAGGTAAAGGAGAAAAAAATGCTAAAAGTAAGAAGAAAAAAAGAAAAAGAAAAGAAGAAAGAAAGACAAAAAGCACACAAACTCGATTGCCAGGATTCGACCTTGCGCTTCTCGGTCAGCTGTTAGCTTCGCGTGCCTGAAACTTCACCACGCAGCCAAGAAAACAAAATACAAGACACGTTCGATCTCTGAATATTATGCCAGGAACAATCACGCGACCCACCGTCTGAAAAAGAAACACTTCTCAAACGGGTTAAGGCATGGCTCAATTTTTGGTCTCGACCCCCCGCGAAGATAAAGCTGTTTTTCTTCTACGGCCATGCATTTTAATTCTGAAAGTTGCAAAAAACTTTCGAGAAACTTTCTTTCGAGGCGTTGAATTAATTGGGGTTGAAGTGATGAGTGACGCCATAATGACACAAAAAGAAATTCAAAATGGGGTAGGAATGGTTGATTACAACTAAGTTTGAACCATGCGTAAATGTTGTTTTACCGTACGAATTTTTTCCCTGGCCGGAACGGAGAGAAATTTTGATTTCTTAAAAAGATATTAACAGGTGAAAAGTGTCACGTGACCTATTTTGCTTAATTACTAATTAAATAAATACGTGAGTCACCCATTCCGGCCAGATTCAAATGAAAAATGAGGATACAATAACATAAATACTGTCTTTCATATATACTGTGGGGCATCTCGCCACCCCATTTTTAGTTTTCTTTTCTTTCCTGGACTCGATTATAAAAGGTCACGTGACACAGATATCTGATTTCTTACGTTACAGAAAAATTAAGGTTACCGACTTTTCCGAGGTTGCAAAATTTTGGAAGGTTTTGATAAATTTTCTCAAAGTTATGATCATTACAAGAGTTTATACAAATTAGCCTCAGGCCATGCCTTAACATGCTTGAGTTATCGCACGGTTTCAAATGAAAATAAGATTTAAAAAAGTGTCGTTAATCGTGCAGATATCTTTTGCAGGAAAAAATTAAAGCAGAAGAGAGTGTGACCTTCCAAATCATCTTTTCTTCAATGGCCGACTAATAAAGGCAAGTAGAATCTTTGTGGCTCAACAAAAAGCTAATAGACCGTAAGACATCAAAGAGTCTTTCCTGGCTTTTTGATTGTCATCGTAGTCGAGCACGCAACGTTAAAGAAGCGGCTGCCTGTGAATTGATTGGCGCCAAAAAAGTGCGCATTTTTCAGTTTTATATATTTCTCTAAGTCATTCTAAATATATTACATTCCGCATAATTATGTTATTCCGCAAGCCATGCCACATGCCATTCCGCAAACTCATTCCTCCTTTTACCCTCACCGTGCTAACTTTATCATCATTTTTATGCACCAGTAAGATGCATGCTCTCTCTCATTTCTCTGCTTTGTAGGAACTGCGATTCTGGTATTCTAGCTTGCACAGAGGCTCCGGATCGCCCGTTGGAACCAGCTGGAGAACCGGTGTACTTCCTTAATCTCATTTAGCCAATTGTGATCAACAGAGTCAAAATAGGCCTTCTTGACATCGCATCCATACCCAAGCCATGTTTTTTTTACCTCGATGGTAATCCTGTGTGACCATTTTATGAATCAAAAGGTTATCCGTGGGACCACTGCAACCAGCCTTGGTGCCCTTTGCTCACCTTTCGATTAAATCATACTCATTTAGATGACTACTGTCTATTAAAGGACTGTTAAGACACGATGTGAACCACTTGTAGACGTTATTCAAGCAAGTTATTGGTCGCTGATTTTCACTAGAAAAAGCTCCTGGTCTCGATAAGCCGAGTTTTATCCTCGGAAAACCACAACGGGTAGACCTCCGTTTGCTTGGAGATAAATACGAACGCTTGTGTGATGTCTTCGTGAAGTGCGTTCGCACGCTTTCACCAGTAGTTAACAAGTCTGTCAGGCCCAAGTGCACTCCAATTTCTCTTCTTGAAGAGCGCTTTCACGGCCTCAGATGACTCCAACTGCCACGCCTCATCCGAAGGAGGTGAAACGCGAGTCGCAATCACCTCTTTACACTCCTGTATCCCGCACACACTCTGATTTAAGCCCTGACGTAGAACTCCACACCCACAGAATCACGCCATATCACGTTTGTCCTGAAGGGCAAGAGTCCAAGTGTCAAGTTGATGTCTCGCAAAGAAAATTAAAAGGATTGGCCAAAACCAACCTCGAAAACATGGAAAAACCATGGAGTTCTACGTCAGAGCTTAAATCAGGGTGTGCGGGTCAATTTTTAGCAGAGCTTCTCTGTTTGTTACGCCATACTGATGAGCGACAATAATAGCGAAACAGCTGTCTATGGCTACAATCCCGTTCTGTTTTGGGTTCTTTCGGTGTCATGTTGATGTCTTGCAAAGTTAATTCTTACGTAGTACGAGCAGCATTGTAGTATTCTGTTTGCAGAATTTAATTGTCTATCAATCTGTCTATCATCATCATCATTATTTATATGCTTTGAATT